CAGTCTAATGGTGCTAATGTAATCAAAGCACACTGACACAAAACACTTCTGACCGACACAATAATGAACGAATTTTGATTCAGTTTTTTAACAAGTATAATGTTTACAACAAGTTTAATATATTTGTTAATGATTTTTGAATATCTAATTACCTATCCCACAGGGTCGGTTCGCAGTTGCAAACTCTTCAATAAAGACAGGAGACGTGCTACTGATAGATCCACCGTACGCCGCGTGTCTGCTCTCAGACTACTACGGCACACACTGCTTACATTGTTTTAAAAGGTAAGCAAACCGAAAATAATTTTAGTGTGTGGCTGCCGTTTGTCTAGATATTAAAGATATCTATATTATTCCAGACTAGACGATTGTGAGAACGAAGCTCCCGTGTGGTGTCCGAAATGTTCAGGAGTAGCATTCTGCAGCATTGCTTGCAGAGACGCAGCCGTATCCACATATCATTCTTATGAATGCCAATTTTTAGATCTCTTTATAGGTGAGCAAAATTCACACGAAGTTAGAAAACATAGAGAGAGATGATTTGGAGATTAATGAAATTCAATCTGATTCTAGGTTCTGGTATGTCAATACTGAGCCACATAGCGTTACGTATGGTGACTCAGGCAGGGCTCGACACCAGCTTGTCAATACACGCCAAGTACATCAGCAATGAAGTGAAGACTGTCGAAGGAGCCGTTCTTAATGATATAGAAAGTGTTGCGAAAAAATCTAAAATAAAAAGTAGAAAAGAAAGACTCAATAGATCTAAAAAGGGAATCAAAAGTTTCACAGAAAAGAATTTCAAAGAAGAAGACGAAGAAGTTAAAGTAGAAGATAAAATGAGTATGGAAGAGAAGCTGGAGTTGAGAGCAGCGCAGATATACGTGCTGTGTACGCACTCCGAGCAGAGGAAGGGAGAGGATTACTTGAAGCGGATAGTGATGTCACTGTTCCTCACCGAATGTTTGAAAAAGGCTGGTTTCTTCAAGAAATGTAAACAGGAAAATTTAGAAAAAGGTACATGAGTGCATTCCTGTGGATTGAATTGAAAAATTGTATGAGAATGAGCTGAAGTATTCATTGCATCCGCAGCACACTTGGCCGTCATCGAGCTGATCCTCCGCAACCTGCAGCTGCTGCAGTTCAACGCGCACGAGATCTACGAGACAGTGCGTGGCGCCCACACCTTCGCAGGCTCCAAGCCAGTCTACATCGCTGTAGGCATCTACCCGATAGGAGCCCTGTTTAATCACGAGTGCTACCCGAGTGCAATCAGGTAAGGAAAGAAAGAATTGAAAGTCATCACAAATGGTGAAACTAGCATATATAGGATTTTAAGTTTATATCGAGATTTTGTGTGTCTAGATACTTCGAAGGTCGTAACATTGTGCTCCGGGCGACGAGACCCTTGTATCCGGGCGAAGTGGTGGCTGAGAACTATGGCCCCCATTTCATGACCCGCGCCCTGAAGGAGCGACAGCGGTCCTTGGCCTCCCGCTACTGGTTCCGATGTGACTGCCTCGCCTGCAGGGAGGACTGGCCCACTCTCAAGCAAATGAGCGGAGACACGCCACCTTACATCAGGTAAACAGTTTGACATGAACCCTAGATGCATAGTATGAGAGACTCATCATTATAAGTATGGGAGAGCTATTCGGCACGAATGGGCCGGCTCGACCGGAGTGATACCACGGCCTCACACAAATCCAACGTGAAACAATACTTGCGTTGTGTTTGTTCATGTGAGTGTGGTTACCGGAAGCCCAGTTAATCCCTCCCCAATCCCTGAATCCCCAACGATCCTCAAATTCCTAATCCCGAAAATGCCGGTAACACACTTGTGACACCTCTGGTGTTTCGGATGTCCATGGGCGGCGCCGATTACGTATCACCAGATGATCCATCTGCTCGATCACCGGCTTATTCCATAGAAAAAAACGCTACGATGCTGTAGTTAGAAACCGAGCAAGCGAGAGATATCTCGTGAAACACTGTATAAAGTATAACTAGACAACAAAAAAAATTGCTGGGACAAGAACATTCATTCACGGCTGCTACGATGATATTTCAACTGTTGATGAAGTAGGTAATTATGTCAAGGATGTAACGAGTAGAACTGTAACAGTTCGCGCCGAGTGGCTCGTCACAAGCTGGCCGCGCGGCGCCTCTACTCATTAAACTTGCAACTCTAATCAAGTACTCAAGTACTTATCGATTGGCACAACTAGACAATAACCTCTTGCTTCATATTTAGCAGACCGATATTTGAATTACGGCGAATCGAAACCAATTACAACCTCAACTATTAGCTAATTATGGTAGTCAAATCATTTAGTAAATCTTTTATAACACAAGACCTATTGAATAAATAATCTGACTCGTTGTGTTAAGAAAACACTTAATTATTATGTGCCATTATAACACCGCCACACCAATAACGTGTTCCGTCTCCCTCAGATGTCCAAATATGGACTGCGTGGGTAAGTTCCGGGCCAATCTGCAAAGTTTGCCCAACCGATGCACCCGCTGCGCCACTCCTATCAATAGAGACCTCGTCAAGATTCACATGGAGACTGTCAACCGGTGTGTCAAACAATACCAAGTACGTAGCAACTATTGTAATATATCAGTACAGTACTCAAGAAATACATACATATACATACCTGAAGGAACTTATATTTTCATACGTAGAGTGTAGCCTGCAATCCCTAAAGCATTTTTTGTAGAATAATATTTAAAAACGTTTCAGTGCCTTTTAGTACCTAAAAACTCGTGGGACTTTGATTTTAAGTCAATGTCACACTGAAAATGTGCTTCTCTGCCTACCCCTTGGGAATTAAAAGGTTGTTTACATTAAATTCAATAACAGTCTGAAATAACTAAACCTCTATTCGTGGAAAAACTGAAAACATGCAAAATGAAAGTTTATTTCATATTCAATTTACAACATTATTAAGGTTCATAATGAGATGTCAATATTAGATAAGAGCTGAATGTTTGTGAGACGTTTTGTGTGGGATTACAGATCTAATATGAATACAAAGTAGCTCTGTATTTCGTTCCCTAACATTAAACACATTTTGCTTTAAATAACGCATTACAACGCCATCTACTAGCTGAACGTAGTACTATTACAATTACTGAGGGAACTAAAACTAACTCGTTGCCGTGTTGCAGACTTGAAAGTGTAATTTGAAAAAGAATAGTATATGTATTAGGAAGCCCAAAATAAATGGCAGAAATACACAATTAAACATAAATTAAATGCAGAGGACACCATTTGCTGTACCGTTAATAATTCCGTGGACTTCGTAGGAAAAGTTGTGACAATGTTAGATTCAGAGTTTGCAATTTTACAATTTTGTAATTTCCTAAACAAATCTTTATATTAAAAAGGCTTTACCAACCCTATTAAAAGGGCGATTGTTGCCTCCACTCATTAATAATATTTGTCCAAAAATGTAAAATTCTTTTAATTATCAGTTGCGCTTGTAAACAGCTCATGTAACGCACATCTATCAAATCTCGAGGGTTGTCAGCAACCAAACATTATGAGGAGTCTACCATAAAACATTACTTACGTTACTCAAAAAAACCCACAAAAAATATTTTATCAATTTTCTATTTCAGAGAGTTTGAGCTTTATTAACTTTGTAATAAAGCTGACAATCTGAAGTACGGTGACATAGTGTACGTATATCACTTGAACTCAGGCTTACCTTCGGGTTTCAGGCTACGTTACGCTGTGTACCGTACAATTTCAGTGTTTACTCAAATTAAATCAAATCGAGCCTGAGAATGTTATGTCGGCTAAATACTTGTTGTGAATTTGAAACAGTTTGCGGGTAACGCAAATCTATACATATACATACACGTAATTTGGTTCGATATATAATTGCGACAGCAATCAGGACGGCCATCACTTAATGTGCTTTCTCCCCTAACGCCATCTAGAATACAAGTGGTCAACTATTTTCTTTACGTTTAGTTTTGCTAACCCTATCAAGATTTCGAAGTACAGTGTAGTTCTTGGACAAAAATGATGTCATACATCGGCCCTCTATTGGCTATCAGGAAGGGTTCTATACAAACCCATCATCACTCGTGCGCTGTTTCAAAAACATTTATAATGAACCATTACGATAGGTAACATTAGCAGTGTAGTCGCTTCTGACTAAAATGTATCCTTCGTCTTCTAGGAAGGTGCTAGGTTAATGGATAACGAGCGTACTGAGGAGGCAATCACAGTTATGTGCGGGGCCATCGACCTGTTCCACGAGGTAGCTCGGGCTCCGCACCGGGACACACACCTCGCGCAGGAGGCGCTGCGCTCGTGCTTCGCCACCGCAGGCAACGTGCACCGCGCCAGGGACCCCGAGAGAGACAACCACAACAATAACAACACCTCCACTTCAATTTAGTTCAAACGATGATAATGTAATATTGAATATATCGAGATAATGAGACAAGCTCTAAGTGAACTTGAACAATGTTCTTCATTTCACACAAATAAATGACAGATGAAAGGAAGCTCTCGAAATAACATGTGACATAAATGTTCCTCCTCTTGCAAATTCCATCTCAGGTAATAAAGTTAAGTAAAATTTCTGAGAAAGGTACGTATAACCTGATTGGTAAGAAGACAGGACGTACCCAAAGATTTGCCGTGTAATAATATATAGCTACCTCAATTACATGTAGTTGCCATAAATATATGTGTTCATTTTACCTTACGCATGCTATAAACAATTATCAAAAAATAAAAATCTAAATAATTTGTCCAATGTTTATTTCTTTTACGTATTAATTTGGGACAGAACGGATCCTGTTCTCACTATCACCCTACACAATAAATGATGCAGCAAAAGATTCTACATACTACTAAGACCATTGGCAATGCCAGGAACTAACAATACAATAAATACGAATAGTCCAAGGTCCCTTCCAAATCCACAAAAACAAAAAGCTAAACACTATTTATTCCTTTGTCTCTTGTTTATTTTTTAGTCTTCCTTTTTGGGTGTGGGCCTTCGTTTGGTAGTAAGGATTGATATGTTTCATAAAGCTCACGCGCTGGTCGAACACATCATTACCTGCAGAAGGCAGCTACAATCAACCATACACAAAGGCGGGAACCAGCAGACGATTATAATATTATTTACTACAAACACAACTGCTAAGAGCTGGTGCTTACTACCGGCTCGACATAGCACTGCATGCCATGCCAAAGGAATTTATATATTATTTTTAACCTTATTTCAATGACTTCAGAGTTCATGTTACTTTATATCGACATCACGATATCGCGACGCGCCCTACATACCGTGTGACGCCGCGGCATGCCGCTAGCGGCCTGCTTGGTGCTGCAGCACAACCGCGCCATGCCGGCAGTCAGCCAAAGGCGCCTTTCATTATTAGGTAAGACTACTTCATAAAATATAGCATTAAGTTCGAAATAAACAAATTAACATAAAGTCGTTGACAACATAGCGGGCAGATATTGAAAGGAACCTCACACCAATCGTTTTACTAATCTCTTCGCAAGGCGTTGTCCATCAGAACACATAATAGCTACGCATACCACCAAAGACTAAAAACTTTAGACTGAGCTTCAGTCGACTGATTTTGTTGGTTACAAAATAATCATTCATGCTTGTAATTGCTCAGTATCTTCAAAAATTATTCAAACATGCTTTTACAGGCGCACTCCTGATTCTCGTCGCCTTCACCCTCGCCGGTGCTGGACACCGTCCGCCTGAGGGTTTGGACTTGTGTTTGAAGTCCCAGTATGCGAAGCTGCGCTTGCTCAAAGTTGTCATTCAGTCGTCTGATCTGGCACTGCATTCGACATTGTAACTGTAGTGGACAAACAAAACAAACGTTGAGATTGGAGCGTAAGTGTTGTTGTGTGCGTCCCTAACAACTGTGTCTGCGACAACTTACTTCCTCGCGATCTTTTTCAGCTGTCTTTACTTGAGCTCGGCTGGCAGCGAGCTGTCGTTCCATTTCAGCTATTGTGGTCTGCATACATCTGAAATAGTAAAATGGCAATCAGTATAGTATCTGCCGAGTGCGGGCGCCGGGCTCTTAGTCTCTAGTCTACTAGTCTCGTGCACTCACTTGCGGATGGTCTCCGTGCGCTCGTTAGCTCGCTGCAATGCGCGCGCCGCCTCGTCGCGTGCGCGGTCCAGCTCGCCTCCTATCTGCGCACACTCGTGCATCTTCTCCTGCAGACGCTTCTCATTTGCTAGCACTGACTCCTCCATACGAATCACGTTTGCTCTGACAAATAGTAATTTCAATTAGAAATCAGATGTTCTTTGAGTTCGAATCGCCATTTAAGTATACATTTTGTATCAATAGCATAGGTCCTAGCGATAGTACTCACTTAAGCCTCTCGATCTCGCCCTTAAGCGTCATGTTGGTCTCAGTAACCTGCGCCAATCTCTGCTGCATTATGGCCACCTGTTTGTCATCAGAGTTCTTCTCCTGGGACTTCTCTGGCGGGGGCTTTATACTGTTGTGTAACAGTATGTGAACCTAGAGAAACATTCACGTTAATGCCCTTACTAAGAAATGTGCCCGAGGTTAGACCCTGGATACCCAAGTAGTGTTGGTGCTCACCTTCTCCCTGGCGCAGTTAAGTTCCCTGGCGAGTTGCTCTGCGTTGTGCTCGGCGAGGGCCTGTGCCTGCTGCGCATCCTTCAGACGCATCTGTGTCGCTTTCAGTAGGTCCGGTATTGGCGCTAGCTCTTGTAGTTTCTCTTGGAACTTCAACTGATGACGATTTTATAAAATAACAGTATGTAAACAAAGTAATAAACTAATGTTTACCGAACCTAAAGCCTATGAAACAACAAAACGACTGTGTACCGTACAATAAGTTGTAATCCATGTAACACGGTTGATCCGCGTCTTAAACAGGGTGCTATTTGTTAAACAAATCCCAAGTTACAAAGTTAACTCTCACCGCGAGACAACAACTTTTTGATAATTATCTGCGGCGTTAATTAAAATTTAATCACTGCATGGAAATTGTGATAAGCAGTTTCGAAAATTTAGATATAATGGGGACGGTATGCGGTAGGTCGATCAAAAACAAATTGATTTGAGTGAAGTTTAATATTGAAAGCAGATTCTCATGAAATAAGATTTAGATTGAAAATGATGGTATGTACCTTGACTTTTTGTATCTCCAGATTGATCTGCTCACTGATCCTGGTGTTGTCCATATCCATCATGTCCATCTGACGCCGCTGCTCCTCCACGAGTTGCTGGGCTTGCATGTACTGGGGAACAGAATAAGGAACTCACGACTAACTAAACTCTACTTTTTGAAGGATTTTTAGGAGCCAATAATTAATATCAAGTAATGAAATAGAGTTCACTCAGTGTTGTGATTGATAGATATGACAAAATTTAGCAATTTATAATATTAATGTTTTAAATAGCTAGCTAGGTTTTTGATTAAACCATGGAAGATCAGGGTCCCTACAACAATTTACCAATGTTGATCAGGGCCTATATATAACTCAATGTAGGTATAAAATAAGTCTACCACCTATAATTTCATGATCCCTTGTACTAGATCCAATTCCATTCATGTCATGCCACACCAATCATGTATGTGTGTGGTTGATACAAACACATTGCCGTCAATACATTCGTGGGACGCTATTGAAACTTGAGACAAAGGTGGGCCAGACCTCTAAGACGGTGGTCAGTATACTATCATATTGTACGTAGGCACACGGCCATCTGCCCTGTGAGCATAAACTGCCTATTGTGCAGGAACGCTGTTCATTGACAGAATACGTAATATCTACGAATACAACAAAATATTTTCTTCGTGTCCCTATACGTTTCTGTAACTATAACTTACCTTGACTCTATAGTCCTGCAACTGATCATTCTGCTCCTTCATCAGAGTCCTGAGCTCGTCGATCTCCTCCCTGGCCTCTCTGTAACATTGCTTCAGAGCGCGCACGTTCACTTCCTGTTCGAAGGCCTGTTCCTTGGTCCCCAACAACATGTTCGTATGGGTCGCTAATCCTTCGAATTTCATTTCCAACTCTCTCATCTTGTTCTGGACCTCCCGATGTTGACATCTCTCCTTCTCCAACTCTTCTTTCTTTTTTAGCAGTTCCGCTCGAAGCAAGGCGCACTGTGTGTATTGAAGTATTTAGGTAAATGTTACTTTTACAATATGTATTCAAGCATAAGTAAACCATGAATTGTCGAAATGTTAATGCATTCAATTAAAACTCCAAATCAAGAAAGGTTTCTAAGAATGTATCATAACCACCTATAAACATTTTTAAGTTTAGCAAACCTGGTTCCTACGCTACAATTCTCGACAGTATTGAAAAAATGGCAAATTCTTTATTTATCCAACATTTCATATATATGTCCACCTGAAGTGGACAGGTATTCAGTACGAAGATTGAACAAAATACATTTTAATAGTTAATGGTTCGGTATCCGCTCTCTGTGGATGCACAATCAGTCGGCAATATGGCTGCGGTTTCGATTTCCGCAGTGAACATGAATAATGCACTGACTTACTGTTAACGCTTACATTAATTCTACGCAGTATGAGTAAAAATTGTTTTTATTATGTGATACCTCGGTCACTTTTGTTTTGAAGCTTTCTTCGGTCTGTCGCAGTTGAATTTTGAGTTTCTCCACTTCTCTCTCAGCTGGAGTCTGCAGACAACGTGACAAACAACGTCAAAGACAAGCGTAAAACAAATTCAAACAGAAATTGGAATTGTATTATAAGCCTTACCGGTGGTGCGTTAGGATTGCACGGCGCCGGACACGGTGGACACACACCACACTGCAAACAAATTGAAAACATCAAGCAATTATTGCATTAATAGTAAAAACCGCATTATTCAATGTTGTACTTACAGCTCTTGCCATCGGAGGCACTGGTGGCCCCGGCTGCAAGCAAAATTAAACAAACCAATTACAAAAATATCTGAAAGTATGATATGTACTCATGTCGTATGAATGCACACAAAACAGAACAAGTTACTGACAGGTTGGTCGAAGCAACTGTTGGGGTTCCCGCCGGCGCCGCGACACGCGGTCGTCGCAGTCTTCACTTGTTGCATCTCCATCTTTATGTGATGCACTTCCTGCTCCAATCCACCTAACTGCTTTTCCTAAAAGCCAATAAAAGTATCAAAAAGTTTCACAGAGCTTGATGAAACGATTTCATACATTTGAGGTATTTATTATTGTCAAAACTTGAACTCAAAAGAAAACATAACATAACATCACGCCTTTTATCCTCGAAGGCGTAAGAAGAGGTGCACATTATGCCACTTTACAATGTAATACAATGTAATACCCACTTTTCACTACTTATGTTATGAGTCCCATGTAACTGGGGGTGAGCCTATTGCCATATACCGGGCGCAATTTCAGACTGCGTGCTACTACTGATAGTTTTTTAAAAACCCAGTAGTACTTTGCCCGAACTGGGAATCGAACCCGAGACCCCTTGCCTGGCAGTCGCACTTGCGATCACTCGGCCAACGAGGCAGTCAAAAGAAATTTGAAAGAAAGTATCGAAGTGTGATAGAGCATCAAAGTGCGTACTAATCCTTCCGATGAATTCTTGTACTCTTCTAATTTGTTCAGCAGTTCGTCTGCATGAGTAGTATCGAGAGACTTTCCGTTCTGAAACAAATATATATCTTAACGTACTTTAAACAACAATATGCACTATAAGTCTATTCAGTTATTCCAATTACGTGTATGTGTGTTTGTATTGTGCATGCAATAAGTAACGGAGCTACTCACTTCTTCACTAGAATCTTGTTGACATTTGGTATCCTTATTTAGCGTAGAAGCATCTCCCTGTGAAAGTGAGACAGCTGGTAAAACATAACACTTTTTATCTCCCTTTATATAATTAGGACGTTTTGTACAGAGATACATGCCACGCCCATTGTACCCAAGTATAATATTGTAAAAACATTACACTTGGGTACAATTGTAGAATCCCACAAAATCACGCTTCAAGTCGAGCTAACAAGTTACAGGACTCAAGAGCCATCACCTCTGGATTATTCTTAACCAGTTTCTCGTGAAGCAAACTGTTCTCTCTACTCATAAGCTTCAGTTCCCCTTGCAGCCTCTTCACTTGTGCTCTGCTGGTCTCCAAATTCTGGTCTTTTGTCATAAGTTCCTTGTACAATATATACCTGCAAGTACATACCTTAATTTATCCATGATTCGGTCTGTTTCAACTAAGTAATTAATGTAGCATGTTTTGTGATTTTCTATTATGATTGATTAGCGGTTGTTGTTGGCTTGACTGATCGTATTGACATCTGACGTCTAGACTATAGGTTCAAAATTTAAATATTTTTGACAGATATCTACCTCTAATATATAAAACTAATAATGTAATGAACCGAGTAAATACTTTTTGTGACAAGTATGTTGAATCTAACTTTAGCCCGTGGTTTCTCTACAATGTGTTTCAAGTTTAGAGAATGTTTTCCGTATAATGTGTACAATTCAAATGGCCAACTGATGAGTCAGCTCGAGTCAGTTAGTTCCTCATATCTGTACTCGTGTACGTGTATATGCTGAGACAGAACCTCTTGACTTCTAAATCAGCATTATCTGCCGCGAGTTTCTCCTGCATGTCGTAGCTCTCGCTTAGCTTGCGAGTCAGGTCAATCTCCTTAAAAGAAACACAAAACTCGTTACAATTTTATATTTTACTATTTTTTTTTTACATTTTTGTGATATTTTTATCGTATGCGTCTGGTACAAGGAGGTGGACGTACGGATTTGCTGCGCGTCTGTGATTCGCAGTGGCTCAAATCTGGGCCAGCCATGATGCGCGGCGCTGCCAGCAAGACCGTCGGGTGACTCATCTTCATCTCGTGATGCATAGGTGGTTCTGTAAAATAACAACATTTATTATATCATTAGATGTATCAAAAATGACAATAACATAAATCTAGTATGTTATCGGTCATCACAGCAAAAGTTTTACGTACAAATACATGCCAGTGTAGGTATTTGCATATGTACAGACCTGTCGGTATCAACAGAACAGTAACAGAGTCACGTAACACGAGGTGTAACATGGACATCACGTCAGCCGCTCGTTGATTAGGCATTGTGAGAATAAACATAGCAATCAGTGGCACTGCAGCGTGTTGCTAACATTACACTCCACTTGTTTGCTGGCCACTAAACTGTCGCGGTGCATTTTAATTATAACTGTATACACAATTAGGGAAGAGTTCGTGATCTAGTTTATTTACTGCTTATTTTAGAGGTATAGTCCAAAAAAGATTCATTGTTAATGTTTGCTGCAGGCTATAATAGGAAAAAAAATCTTACTTAACTAACAGATTACTCTTCATATGTCCAGGTAAGGAGAACATATAGATCAAATCCCGGTGATACAGTAACTAAGTGAGAAAAACTAATCTAATCACCATACACACTGCCGGGCACATAGTCCATGCACCGCTGAGGTTCATTTTTGGTCCTCCTCAGCTGGACGTCATTGTCCATCAGCTTCTGAATGTTCCTGGTCATCCGATCGAACCGCTCCATCTCTCGCAGCAGCAGCTCGTTCCTCTCACCCAGCTCTTTTACGTCCGCCACCGTTATTGCAGATTTCTGAAAGAGCATCCATTAATCGATAAGGAGACTATTACATTCAATTGTTGGTAGTCCAGCCTCTTAATTGTTTATTACCAGCTAAATAAGATGTAATACGTTCCTCCTCCCATATACTACCACTTGTCTACGACCAGAGAATGTATATGCTACAAATTAATTTTATACTTTAACGCGAAGCCAAAAATGGAAGTTATTAATATAGCCGGTACATCAATTTAAGGCAACACGATTGATTACGTTAACAAAACATTTTATTAAAGGGGAGCAAACAATGCGTACAGTTAATCAAAATCTGTTCGAGAAAATAAATATCTCACAAGCCATACCAGATTCATTTAAATATTAATAAGCAACGGCTGGAGATCCGATCCATTCGTAACATGAATTATTGATCACTTTTAAAACATGACGATTGGCATAATGTTGCTGTCCCTCTCCCCCCGCCCCTCTTCTGAGCTACATGGCTGCATGATGAGCTGGAGCGAGCTTGTATTGTGCTATTGAATCGGATGTTCTGTACAATACGACAATGGTCGCCTCCTGTAATGCCATGTCGCCGAGCGTTTGACAGTACAAAGCGATATGAAAAAAAACGGCAACTCTTTTAGCACTACTGTACTTTGTAGTGGGAACCTGTGGACATCACATTGCCACAGACTTGACAGGGAATTTAACTTTGTGTTCACGTACAGTAGTACCAGTCCACTGCAGTAGTACTTCTGCACTTTGTTTTACAGCGGCACACTGGCTATATCCAAACACTGAAGGCTGCAAATTGACCAAAGGCCGTGATACCTACGAATATTTTAACCTCGTATAAAATTATATTCTGTTTATTTCAGAAAAGCTTTTAGCGAGTTCATTAGTTATTCTCAGTCTATTAAAACAGACGGCGGCAGATGTCCGTAACTTATGATTTTAGAATTTGTGTTACAAATTAACGCTGCTGGCTGGGAAAATACATGTGTTCGGTTAACGCTGAGAATTATGCTCAAGTTATTGAATAATATTGTTCTCTGTAGACTAAACATTAACCCCGAGGCGTTGCATTTCACAACACACTACTGACACTATTGAACACTATCTGGCATCAGAATCAGAATCAGAATCAGAATCATTTATTTGTTAAACATAGGTAGTTTACATAATAAGGTCTTACATATAAAGATAGTCCACTATGTTTTGCCGTGATAGACATACAAATATATTAGGTACATGCATTTAAAACATTATTAGAATATTACAATTTCAGTTAAATTTGTACAATAATAATAAAATAATAAAAATAAGGTATGTCAAAATTATGTCAATTAAAATTATCAAATTTATCAGGAAATACATTAAAATTGTCAAGAAAAAATTAAAATTGTCAAGAAATAAATTAAATTTGTCAAAAAATATTATCATTAATATTGGCATCACAAATTATGTTACTAACTGAGTGAATGCAGGAGAAAGAAGATAAAAGATAAATGTCGTCACTGAGCCAAAGAACACACAGGACAGCATCTTTAAAGTAAAACCGTTATTAAACAAAAAAAATCATTAATTGCGTATTTGCATGGATAGATGGCATTAATTCAATTCATGATAGTTTAAAATTAATTAAAATTTTCATGAATGATTTAATTTAAGGTGCGACACGTAAACGATCAATGTGATGGACTTCTTACATTTCCCCCCTACCACTTACTGCTTACTACGGTAGGCAATAGGTAGGTACATCTGTCGATACATTACCTTTTGTATTTCGAGGAGTCTGGCCCTCGAGTCCCTGATGATTCTAGCGCTCTTCCTGGCATCATTGTGGATGTCTCTGATCTGACGCGACAGAGCTTCGTCCGCGTCTAGTAGTAAGGGGGAACCTAAGCACAAACACACTGGTTAATACTAATTCATATTTAGTGAACTATTATAAATACCTAATGTGTACTGTACTTACATGCTCCTGATTTCTGGAAACAACAAATACATGTGTTATTTATTTTTTATCACATTTGTGACAAAGTCAAAAAAGACCTCGAAAGTGTTATTTGGAATAACGATATTAAACATTTTTACAAGGATTAAAGAGGAAGAATCTTTCTTATTTTTCTCCGAACAAATAATTATATTGGGAGCTACTTTTATCATGGGCCAACTGAATGACAACTCTAAGATTGGGGTTTCAAACGTGCCACTAGGTGTACTCACTCGTGGCGCTGTTTGTCTGCTGCAGCATTTGGCCCGCTCTGGTTTGCACGGCCCCCTCACTGTGTCGCTAGGGTCTGTTTGAATGCACATTCTGGTGCACTTCCTGCTGGTCTCCTGTACTGGACTGATGCGGTCCATGATGTCGGATGCGACAGGACTGACGCTTTGATCACCTTTGCCCGGAATATGTTCTAACCGAGGAGAATTAGGGGTTGGTTCATTTTCTCGGTTGAGCTGGAAAAATAGTTCGACAGTTAGACACTAATCCTTTCCTTAAATTCAGTGTAACGCTCACTAGCAGTGTATTGTGTTAAGATTCAATGCGACGCACCAACTGTGACTCCGAAGCAGATTGTACGTCGAAGGTAGTTTTCCCGAAAGGCTCGACTCGTGACTTGCTCCTGAACTTATTCCTGTCACCGGGCAGGTCGGGCGAGCTGTAGGTCTGGTCTACGTTGGACTTCGGGGAGTGTTCCGGGCGAGCGGTACGCTGCTTGGGGTACAATTTCGCAGCCTACAAGACAAGTAAACAATGTACGAAAGCTCGTAGGTACATACTTAATTAAATATTGTGTTTTTATTAGTTATTAGTATTGGTCTGAATCTCAGCTCCACTATCTTAAAATAAACTCGATAAAGCCGATAATTAAGATACGTTACTTTCCATTAAATTCTACCCAATTTACCGATCGTTAGCTTTGTGGCAAAAATAGAGAAGCCACTTTATTTACTGGCAGTATTATGTATACCTAACTAGAATATTCATTGCTAGTTCGACACTACAGACGTCTCGTTAATGATGAAAAATTTAATAAACAATCATGCCTGAATAATTAAATTAATTAGCGCACCTAGCGGTGGAAACAGGCATCAGTGATGTATTACTGTTCCATTAGTTAAAAACTTGATTATTTACAATATTCCATCGAGTGTAGGTAAAGCTATTAATTTGAAAAAGTGTAATAAATTAACCGACGATGTCCGTAATTCCGTTTGGCTGAATATAATAATTAGTTATTTGTATAGTATCGAAAATCCATTTTTCATTTAATTCCAGTATTGTTAATTAAAATACCTATAGGACAAATCATTGGTAAATGTTTATTATGATTGTTGTATTTATGAGCCAACATATATCAGATATATGCAAAGTAGATTACTGTCAGTACTTGTAGCCACGGAGGTACTAGGTAGCGAGGATGCGTCAAGCATAAGTTCCACGGTTCGTCAGCACGTCATATGCAAATCGTGGAGATCGCAAGACGCAGTAAGGGAACGAGCCAAAATATTCCTGATTTCGCTTCTTGCGAGACTTGAGCACGTCATGACGTCACATGTTAGAATCAGACTTGCTCGAGGCAGCGGAGGCACGCTGCAGAGACGAGCAGACTACGCGGTTGATACTAAATGACGGGTGACACAAACATGGAAATTCTCTTTAGAACAATGAATTATTTAGAATATGATTCACACCTGTGTATTGTGTGTATCCGACGGTCCGGAGTGTGCCTATTACATTAGTTTGGATAAATAGAATACTTATGGTACATAAATAAAATATGAGTTAGGTAACGATCATGATGGCTGGGTAGACCTACTCGATTGTGCCAAACTTTATTTCTCGTACAGTTGAGTTGTGATTAACGACCATTAAGTTATGAAAGGTAGATACATATTCCAAAATTAGATATACTTACAAAACTGTGACAATATGGAATGATATCAAAGTATTATACAAGTTGTTGCTACGGCTACGCTGCCTACTCGGGAGAAACATCAATCTAATTTGTGCCAAGACATTGTTCCCGGCCCACATACTGAACTTATTGTACCCCAAATACATATATAAACTAACAAACAGTTATATTTAGACTACACCAATATATGTTATTAAGTTCTCGTATTAATTACATCGTATGGTCAAATAAAAAACTAATGATCAACTTGCATTACCTTATTATAATTATTTTAAGAGTTATGGAAAGAATAAATACAAATATCTGAACGAATTGGTTAAAATCATTAAATCAAAGACAGATAACCAAGCAAGAGGTTCTCAAAGATATTATACCGGAGAGCACTTGACCATCTCATCCCAAAATACACACGTAACACATGATATTCCCAGAAATATACGCAGGTACTCAAATGGTAAACACACCGGAACGAAAATAATTACATCTTCATTACGGAAATAACAATGAGGAAAACATTTCGTCGCCCTCATTAAGCCAATTACCAAAAATATTCGCCATTAATGCGCACATATAGTATAACCAAACTTTGTTTTCATCTCACACCCCGGCCCCGGCTACACTACTTGTGATGTTGTTGTCAGTATACTTTACCTACTTCGGAGGAAAAACAGCAAAATAATTTACTAATTAGGCATCATTTCTACAAGTTATTTATCGTACCACTGTAATCGTTCCTCATTATAAACGTCCGCTGTAATTACAGATGTGGAACCCTCCATCTACCTACTGGTCACCAGCAAGCCCTACTAATTTACTTCATTAAAAATCAATATCATGCCATTAGCACACTAATAGATGCAAAACTAAATGACCCAATTGCAACTACGTGGTCGCAACACAAAAACGTCCAACGTCAGGAAATCATGACAACAATTTTTAATTTGTGTATTATCAAGATCAGTATTAATAATTTCACAATGTTACCTTCATCACAAAATCCTCTCACTATAAAATATACACGTCCATCAAATATAAGAATATAATTTAAAGCAAACACGTCAAAAACTGGCCTAATACAATATGGCCGACGTAACGTTAGACGCCATTATTTTTTTAATTAGTGCTAATGGCCACTATAATGCCTCTACAACTATTGCCAGTGTCCGTTATCTAAAGAAGTTTTATCTTAGTTTTACTTTATTTTTTAACATACTTTTGTCGCTTAAACGACTGTTCTTAAATGAGTTGTATAGGGCCTACACATTTCTTGTATATTCTCTGTGTCAATGATCCAAAAACCCGGCGCCCGTTTCTTCTAATGGTTAAGGTTATGTTGTTATTATAAGTTAGTCCAAAAATAAGGAGCCCTACACACGGCCACAAACAGCCTACTCCTACTACAATACTACTTAATTTTGAAATAGAAAGAACTAACAATACTTTGAGTGACTCGTCTGACTCAGAAATCTAATGAAATATTATGATCGTCAGTCATCACTTACGCCCAATCGGCCAACTGATCCATCGAGTCTGTAAGCTACCTATCTGCCATAAAATGCGATTTATTATTAATATAATTTGATTGCAACATTGTATTGTATATGAAAGACAAGGTTACCACGATACGGGTCCAAGATCCGTAACACTGCACAATGCAAGTAATGCAACATAATCCCGATATTGATGTCAACCGGATCTGTCAGTCGACAGATAATTAACCACCATTTTATTTAATTGTTTTAGCGGTAATAAAATAATTTTAAGATATGAGTGATGGTAATCCTCACCGCACTTATCTTTTTTTTATGGCATAAGCCGGTAAACGAGCAGACGAATCACACCCGACACCCGGAACACCAGACACGTTACAAGTGCGTTACCGGCCTTTTGGGAATTAGGAGTTTGAGGATCGTTGAGGATTCAGGGATTGGGGAGATTGGGGAAGGGGAGGATAATTGAGCCTCCGGTAACCTCACTCACACAACGAAACACAACGCAAGCGTTGCGTCACGTCGGTTTTCTATGAGGCCGTGCTATCACTCCGGTCGAGCCGGCCCATTCGTGCCGAAGGATGGCTCACCCACACTTACCTACGTTAATATGCTTAATAGGGTGTTAAGGGCGGGATGTCACATCATCAGCACAACACGTGGCTGTCGGTCAACCTCTGGGCGGAACACACAAACATTGCACCAGTCCGTGACAGTATACTGCTGGACTATGGGCCCCAGCTTATAAAGTCAAGGGCACAGTTATATAAGTTTAGATTCATCAGTGAGCGCTGCCGCCCGGCCTCGGTGCAATATTTCTTAGTCGTCGCCTATGACACCTATGCGCTTTGGAAGGAATAGGGGAACAGATAAATTTTCATGTATTACGTCGTCTTAACACGACTTGCCAATATTATGTACTATACTAATGTAATGCTATATAGTCCTTACGCAGCAAAAATATTACCAACGATTGTACCAATTTTTACTACGTCCTGTAGTTGGAAACAATTTACTAGTAAATGAATAGAGGACACGTTTTACGTAAGTACTCACGACGCCATGACGCTAAGTGAGGCCGTATAGACGTGTCACTAACTTATTTCTAAATTATTTTGTGTGTAGTACAGTGTCGACCGCATTTCCGTATGTATACGTACTTTTTGGAGGTCTAAATAGTATTTTAAGTCGTATTTTGATGCCGACTACTGTATTAATGTTTGTCTTGTCCTTTTTATAATTAATAGGTTAAGGCTATGCTTTGACGACTTTGACTATCACGTCAGATCTCAGGTTGTTGGACAAAGTATAATTAGTAGGTTAATATTAAAATAGCGAGCTGTGTAGGTACAGTGAAATGGTCACCCCCTGTTATAATCATGGGACTTCTGAATAAATGGTGGTATATTGGCGTTCCATTTAATTTAGCATCTCTGTAACTTGTTTTATCTTAATCGTACGCACATGAATATCTAAACATAGTCAAACTAAATGAAGCTAACCTCTCACACATTAAGTAAAGTTTCCGTGGTGACCGGCTGCCTCACACAATCGGGGCGATACATTATGTATGTGCATCGCAGCTTGCAGCGAGTGTACTTTACAACAAAGAGATAACTAACCCGGCACCGAACTTGTAACTACTTTTAAAACAATGTTGCGACTGAATAGTTAGACAACTTCTCCCACAGAATACTCTTTTGCGTCGCGTCGTGTGACCAGAGTACGGTCTCACAGCGACTAGATACATGTTGCAGTCATCGTATGAATACGAACTTAAACTACACATACTTGTATATGAGGCGTAACATCTGATGGTAAGCAATTTATGCCGCCGCAATATCCGCAACTCTAGGGAAGTTCATGTGCATTACCGGTCTTTAGGTGATGAGGATTGGCATGACTAAGGGGCGAAACATCGCTATCACATGTTATAATATCTTGTCAGAAAATCCAAGCATTTTTTTAGTATTCGTTTAGATACACAGCCTTTACTCTTTCGTATAATTACTGGCAAGTTGTCGTTCGATGTGGAAAACTAAGGAGGAGGTGTTCATCCAGCAATGGACGTTTTCCGACTGTTGTTTATGATGATGATGATGACTAGTAAAATGAGTTTCGCACCACATTATATTTTCCGATAAATGCCTCAAGCCCCGGTTTATTGCAGGTAATGCAACAAATATTTACTTTTATGAGGTATCAATACAATCTTAAGTGGTTCACGTGTGATCTGAAGACAGATATATGTAGGTAGGTACTAGCCATACATACAAAACCCGCACGGTTTCTCGTCTTCATGTGTTCATTGTAATATTAATAAATCGGTTATCGTATGGTGACGTATCTACTGATTGACTGACTACATCCAGTGTTGTCTAGCAAAATAATCTTACTCCTACCTCCATGTCATGTAGATTCAGCATCAGGCCTGGACGACGGCATCACAACACTTATCAACCACGTGTACACCAGCAATCAAATCGTAAAATGTGATTAATTCACTTACACACAAACTCTTCGTACCACAATTTGCTGAGTATACAGTACAGACCACACTCAGGAGCTGATGCAGAACTGACAGCACCACCTTATTCCTTACACGATAAGGTTGAATCTTGAGCGAAGTATTGTTTAAGAACAGCATAGATAATGTTGAAATAAAGCATAGCAGATAATACGTCTAATACAATTAGTTGCATGGGCAAGGTTTCCGCGGTGAAGAAGCCAGTTTATCATTGCCCCGGGCGCGGAGAAGGTAGTGCTCCTGACCATGGCTCAAGGTAAGAACAACAATTTCTATACTATGTCCGTACAGGCTCATCAATGTACTCCAAAATGACTCTCTTTAAATAATCTTCAACTTTTTCATTTCGTCATAGTGGAGAAAGATAATTTGGCATAGTTTTTTGATTTCATACATACACTCGTAAACACATAAATTGTGCTAAAGCAATGTAATCTATTGTAAATGAGTTGTAATTACTAGACCTATGCTCTGCGACATTTCCTAAACGACGAACTATTCAATTGGTAGTTATTGGCGATAATTGATTAACTAAGTATGTTAGTATGCAGCCGTTTCCGTGTTTCATACAAACTACGAACAATACTAGATTATACTTTATATTTATACAGTCCATAATTACCTTGTATGTCACATGTCGGACTATTTGAACAATTGCGGGAAAACAAGGTCTGTTTCAGTTACTTCCGTTTCGAATTAATTTCACTAGCTATACACGTTTCAGTAGTTACACAAAAATACCATCTTTCTTACACACACACTCACGTCCATATGTAAAATATTGTGTTTCTTTTTCCCAAATTATCTTCTTTGTCTTCTGACTACAGATACATAAGTCTGGGGTCGGTACCAAATGACAACCGAATAATTTGATAGTATCAATATGTTCAAATATAAAACGACTATAGTATTATTATCCGGGTTACTTAACCTGCTATGATACTATAATTAATTATTATATTACTATAATTTTTAAGTTCTTAATAACCGCCAGTTATAACTTAAAATTCATCTCAACTTTTGCCTAATCCAGGAGTTAAAGCCAGTCACTGCCTGCCTAGCCAAGTTTAGTTTTTCAACAATTTTATGACATCAAATGTACATAACTACAGTTGACAGGTACCCAAATACATATTTGCAAACATATTAACACTTGAAACAATTTTAAGGTCTTTGCCCTTAAATTACAAATGACTTCTGGACACGTAAAAAACGGTAACTCAAATATTCGTCATTTAGCACATCGAGCATATTGTTGAGTTAATCAACCAGAATATTGTCATTCACAATCTGAGCTAATGCTCAACAATTGCAGTGTAACATTTTACGACTCACAGTAATTGTACAAAGTTGTCACTATTATTATAATGAAGGTGAATATAGGTAGAAGGAACATTCCGTATCTCAATTTGTGATAGAGTTGCGTAGGTTAGGCTCGGTGCGCACGAGTGGTTGGAAGGCGAGTCAAGCGTATTGCACGATTAAGGTTATAAACTTATACAGGCCCGTTTCGTTGGTCAGTCCATCTGTGGTCTAATAAAAGTTTTCCTAAAACCGACTAAAGATAAATCGAAATGTCATGTAAAATTTAGCCGTAATGCCATTTTTGATCTGTAAAGTATGTCAAAGTCAAAGTATTAGGTAATTATGATGAATATTCAGTGTTACAAAATGACATTAGAATATCCGACTACCTTTCGATGATCGGGGATTCCACGTCGTGTATGACGCACGCAGAACCCGCAGCCTCACGGTACCGGATCCTTCATCACGACTATTGCACGTAGTTACTATTGCACTTGTTCAATACATTTATATTTATTGGTATTTACCATTTTACCCGTTCATGTGATATGGTTTTCCCTGCGTCTTGGACAGAATTCCCCGAGCCTACAAATAGAAATTACGCGATGAGCTAAACTGGAAAGTATATTTATTGTCCTGTAACGAAAGTGAACATATTGTGTTTCTTTTTCTCAAATAATCTTCTTCGTCTTCTAACTACAAATACATAAAACGACTATAGTATTATTATCTGCGTTATATACATAACCTACTATGTTTCTATATACGTACTTGTTAAGCACTACCAGATTTGTGAGGTCTTACAACTGCCAGTGATAACTTAAAAATCCATCTTAACTTTTGCCTAATCCAGGAATCAAAGCCAGTCACTTTGCCTGCCTGGAAGCTTTATTTATTGTCTAGTAACGAAAGTGAAAAACGGGTACAATTTTTGTTTAACAACATCAGTAGATGTCTCAACACAAAATCTTCGGATTATTAGGATTAAATCAATTCTTGATAAAGACCACAGTTCTATTGAATTTCTGACAAAAATCTGCATCGATACAGAGATTTTAGATTAAAGGTAACTAATTACTACAGACAGTAAGCGGGCTACAGATGACAAACGCTTACATCTTGCTTAGAAACAATGAAAACAAACTAAAAGGCAACATTAAATCCGCCAACTGTATTCGCATTGGACAAATGACGCAGTGTCCAGTACATAGCCCATAGCTTTTACTTTATATCCATTTTAATACGTACTATATACATATACAAATAAATTACTTGGATGTGATTATCACGATACTTTTACTCACGACTTATTTTTTCTAATTTAGTTTGCGTAAATGTTTGTTTTATGACATATCCTATTGCGTGCAATATCCTTAAACCTTTCTGACTCCTTTGGGGAACTAGTAACTTAGTCATAGAGTTCTATCTATCAATGTAGTCTAGTCTAGAGTATACAAAACAAGCCAGTCTATCCTCAGCCTTAAGGCGTGTTTATGATTTTATCAGAATATCTCGCAGTGATAAACAATGTGGAGCAAGGCGACAATAAGGTCCTTATCGTACCAAAACAAATGTTGACAGATTTCTGTTTAATGCTTCACTCAGATACGTTTGTTTTAATTTAATTAATATCCAGTAATTGATCTAGGTCGCTATCATATTTACAGAGGACGGGAAGTAACGGGTTTAAGTAAATATCTGGGATTGATGAGCACGACGCCTGTACGCAAATTTCTTATATAATTTGATGACGATGGCTAGACACTGATGCATATACTCATCAATGCAATCATTTGGGAGTGTGATCTCTGGTAGTAGGAACGTAACACTATGTTAAATAATTTAATTGTTTCGTCAGGTGTAGCTTATTATACGGACCTTCTGGAATCTAGAACAAAATATTTCCGTTCGTTTAGGCGCTTTTGCCATACCTATTATTGGAAGCAAGTATAACAGCTCACACATAGGACACACTCAGATTTTAGTCAAATTTCCGTGGTGCTTTGCGACTGAGCTTCACCCAGTTGTACAGTCTCTTTTTTGTGCCCTTAGGCTTAATTCATTCTGTCTCCGGCAGTAATTCGAGGGAGATGGAAACTATCGTGTTTTTTTCTTCTCCTCTTATAATATCTTCTGTTTTACTTCGTTGTGGGAACCAAGGCAGTTATTCTTGTCTCTGGGACGCGCCGGACTTCAGTGTTCCGGTGTTTCATGGTTATATCTACTGTAGATCCTGGTTTACAGGAGTTGCAGCGGTTTTGGGAGGTTGTGGCGGGCTTGTTAAAAAAATACTAATCATTTCACTAAAATAACTATTAAAATATGTACCTATAAACACAGGTACAAGTGTTACTGGTTACGTATCTTATTGTTAAGTTTCATCAGTGTGGAAAAGGAAAACGTGTCAAGTCTTAATTATTAGGAAATATGCAAATCTTTCACGTTGCGATTAGTGCATAATTTATTAAATAATCCTCAGTATACTGGAGAAATCTTTAAAAGAACGAACAACATCTTACACTTTTATACAAGTTGTAGATATGTATAATTGTATACGTTTGCTGCTGCGACTGCCTCGTTGGCTGAGTGGTCGCAAGTGCGATTGCCGGGCTAGGGGTCTCGGGTTCGATCCCCGGGTCGGGCAAAGTATTACTAGGTTTTTAAACAATTCTCAATGATAGCACGAAGTCTGTAATTGTGCATGGTATATGGCAATAGGCTCACCCCCTATTACATGGGACTCATAACATAAAATAATGAAAAGTGGGTGTTACACGATACAGTGGCATTAAGTGTCGTAATATGCACCTTTGCCTACCCCTTCGGGGATAAAAGGCGTGACGTTATGTTATGTACGTTTGCTATTAAATCACTCATATGTGTGTGTTGTCATATAACGCTAAGAATGTCTTAGCGTTACAAAATGTGTATCAGTAGACTCAGCAGAACAAAAAAGGATTATAATATTAATTAGGGATTATAACAGAGATTAAGTTAATCTACTGATAGGTCAAGGTTCATAGAAAAGAAATTTCTAAAATGAAGTCGAAATTTAGAGATAGTTGTATTTTGTTTATTTTAATTTGCATTGACAGTGATAAAAGAAAGCGGACCGAGGACAGAGTGAGGACGTCCGCCATTATGTTACAATCGTAATTAGACATATCAAAAGTTGGTACTTTATTGTTTTGTTATCAACGGCCTCGCCCGCAGTGTCTCTGCCCGGCTCCTTGGTGACACGCCGTAATTAATTGCCTCTATGATACGCCGGTAAAAGTTGTTAATGAGCCGTTTCGGTTTTTTGTAACAACTTTGTGGTGTTTAATTGGAAAGTAGTTCACTATGCCATGATTGTGACACTTCTGAAAATACCTGTGAATAGAGTAGAAAATCTATGGAGAATTTTAGAATAAATAGGACGGATTTATATAGACTAGGAGCGCGTCATTAGATTAGAATTCGACGACTTTATGAGCTGACATCCTTCGACAAATTTATGATCAAAACACAAAGCAATCCATATCAGTGATAATAAGTGCTTATATGTAGCCGAAGAACTAAATCTCCAACAGCATGGTACCCTTGTTAATTATTGTGATTGTTGTTGTTA